CTCTAACACTTGACATTCAAAAGAAAGAAACATTATTATTATTTTGAATGATAAAAACATTATTATAATAGTTCTTTATATTAGCAATTGGATAGAACTGATGACAGAAATTTTAAAGGGAAAAAACACACAGTTTAGAATTACACACCTTATATTTAACATATTCATAATCAGTGCTAGAATTATATCATTTGACAAATGAAAAAAATTTAAATATACAAAAGAAACTTAGAATGACTATATAATGCATGGTGAAAAATCTTGAAAATTTTATGAGACCTATTATCTGAATGCATATAAAAATGCTGAAGAATAAATTTAATATATATATATTTTTATTAATTTTTTTGCAGTATTACTATTAGATCATTAAAAAAAGCATTAAAGCAAGCATTAAAACATTTAAAAAATTAAAATAATAACTATTCATTTATCAAATAAAAACTTATATTTTCAATGGTAAATGCAATTGTAAATAACTTATTCTTCAATAGATGACACATTGTACAGTTTATCATTCAACAAAGAACTATTGACAGTTGACAACTGTCATATCACAATGCCAACATTAAAAAAAAAATTAAATTTTTCCTTGCAATATTGTTAATAATCAATTACTACTATTTATTTAAACAAATTTTTCAGTTTGTTCAATAGCTTTCTAATTTTTTTTGAGTATTTTCATGAACAATAACAGACATTCCAAATCTTATTCAAGGTCAAAAGATTATAATCTAAATTAAATACTTCAACTTCACACTGTGATAAATGAAGGTACTGACTAGTTTTTAGTTTCAGTTGTTTCATTTTAGTTGTTTCAAGTAATATAACTAATGAATAAATTTGATTGGTATCTATTTTTAATTTGAAATGACTAGAATATGATTCATTGCTTTAAATCCATGATTTCAATATTACTATACTTTACTTACCATAAATAAGCAAAAAGTTAAGTTAAATATAGTACCGGTAAGTAGAGTAAGTATTATGGTTTTAAAAAATTTTTACTATTTACAGAACAATCTATAGAAGAGTAACAATGTATAATAAAAATAAAAACTAAATTATATTGTTACAGAAATTTTCAAACGTATCCTAAATCAAGTTCACAATAAACTTTTTAACTAGATATCTTAATAAAACCATGTTTTTAGGAATCTAATGATTTATCCAGATAATTTCATTACTCATTTTTGGAATTTGTACTCTACTTATATTGATAGTTCTTCTAGATTTTCTATATTTAAATATCAATATAATGTTAACATCATAAAATTTTCATACAGCTTAAAGCACAAAATTCAGCAGTAAACTTTGCTAACACTGCAGGAATGGCAAATGCAATATATTGTTTAACATTTAAAACTAATTCATTGTGTGTTTCAACACTTGTATTCAATTTAATCTGTGCTATAAATATATTTTAAAGTAGTCCCATAAAAAATCTTGCTATGCATTAATCAGAAAAGAACTGATCTTCAAGGATATTAAGAACTCTTGAAATTTGTAACTAAAATATTAAACAATTTCTGTATAAAAAAAGTGTGTGCATAATTTGAAAAAAGTTAAACATTTTTAATAAAAAAATTATTTATATTTACTCCGTACAGAAATAATCTGGTTGAATCATTATACGCTATGAAGTATTTATTAATATTTCATAGCTTAAAAATATATTTCTAAGAATTTGTTAAATACAGTGTGAAACTTACAGATGCAGTTCCTACATGAAAAGGTAGAAAACAAACAGTTTCAGTCAGCTTATCAGTACACCTCCACATTTGCACCTTTCATTGCTCGCAGCACATCTATGCTATACTTGATTTCCCATCACATATTCATCAGCAGTCCAGTGGAAAATGACATACAGTTGCATTTTCTGGCAGGAGTGTGCATGACCACATTGGGGAGTATCATATGCAATTTCCTGGACACCACATTTTCCAACTGCTGGATAGGTTGGGACAGTCCCACCTGCTGGCACCATGCTCACCTGACATAACCCCACAAAAAGAAATTTAAGTAGGTTATGTTGTTAAGGACAGAGTATATGCCACCACAAGATGTGGATACATTGAAGAAGTGAATCAGGGTACATCGAACATGCTGATGAACATGTGGTGGAAAATTGAATATTGTCTAGATGTGCATTTATTTACTTCAACATATCCACATCTCATGTATGCATATACTCTGCCCTTAACCTCCCTTGATTTCTTTGTGGGGTTATGTCAAGTGAGCTTAGAGCCAGTGGATGGAACTCTCCAAACCTATCCAGCATTTAGAAAATATGGTGTCCAGGAAATTGCCTATGATACTCCCCAATGAGGCAGTGCCCAGTCCTGCCAGAAAATGCAACCTGATGTCATTTTCCATTGGACTACTGATAAATGTGTGTTGAGAAACTAAGTATAGTGTAGATGTGCTGTGGGCAATGGAAGGAGCAGATGTGGAGGTATACTGATAGGCAAACACAGTTTGTCAACCTATCTTTTGATGCAGAAATGGCATCAGTAAGTTTCACAGTATTTTAAAAATAAAATTTCTAAAATTCAACATACTTTATGGACATCCTGTATAACCTAATGACATTTATAATACATTTTATGAATTTAAAGAGGACATTTTTAGTATATTTTCTTTTGTAGCACATAGGAAACCTTTTTTTGTAGGATAGCTTCTTTCTTGTTGATACTGTATATTGATATTATACAATATAAATGTTAAAGAGAAAATTTTCTACAAAAATAGAAATTCTAATGGATCACTTATTTCTGATTACACCTTTCTCACTATAAGACTTTTAGAGAAGTACAGGTAAAAATGTATAAACGAGATAAAATTTATTATAAGATATATAGATAATTTTAGTAGAATAAAGAGAACAATTAAAAATAATTAATTGTATATATATTCAAGAAGAATACAATAAGTGTGTATATATATATATTACTGAGTACAAGAATATAATATATATATATTATATTCTTGTACTCAGTAATTGCAAAATTAGTAGACCACTTATTCAACACTTACTATCTAAACCAATGTTACAGTATGAAGTAATGAGAGGCATTTGTAACATTGTCTTTATCATAATTCTTTTTATTAAACTGAATGGAGTTTTCTTTATAAAATCACATCCACTATTTATTTTCCTTTGTCCAAAACATAACTGAGTTTTTTTTTCTGATCTTCATTGTGTACTGCTGGAAATCTCACCAATTTTTCACACAGACGGAAAATAAGTCATTTACAAATGTATAAATGTGTAAGTTAATACTTATATAAATATAAAAAATATTTATATATTTTATATTTAATTTTTAATCTGTGTACATAGAATTTCAATTAAGAAATAAAAAGGAAAAAAGATGAATAATTGAATTTTTACAGAAAATTGTAAAAAACAATACATATTTGAAACAGATCTTATTAACCAGAATAAAATTACATAATCAAATATGATGTAATTTAAAACTAGAATTAAAAGAGTAGAAAGTATAATTAAAAAGAGATAGCAAAGTATTTTGGAATGACATGTGAATGGTGATCATATACAAAATTTTCATTTCAACAGAGCCAAAGAAATAAAAAGAGCTGTTTGGCATTGTAATGAAAATATTAATATAAACAACAAGTATAGGAGTTCAACTTAGTAAATTAAAACCTTTAATATCCTGCACTAAATTTACACAATAATAAACTTTTTTGACTAACTCAATATTTTTCATATGTCTCACGTAGAAACATTCCATTTGTGTCTGTATGTGTGTCATACATATTGGAAATTCCAATTTATTTACATGACTATCATTTTGGCGATCATCGGCTACTAAAATTATAATCAAATGTGAAATCCACAATATGATTTAAATTTTTCACATTAAGATTGTTGCTTTATAGTTATCATTGTCAGTTCACAGAAGTGTGTAGTGAAGAAAGTAATATAAAGAAAATAGTATGACTTCACAAATGGCAAGAAATGACAATGACAAATTGTAATCCAGTACTCAATGCACACATGTTATGTTTCATATTGACATATTTATTTAAAAATTTAGTATTTCAACAGCCAAGTGAAACTGTCTGAAAACTCAGTACTTCAACAAGTAATGCATATAACACTGTGCATAACTTTATTAGTTTGGTGAAAATATATATGTTGGTACCAAAGTCTTAAATAATTATGCATTGATACTTGTAAACCTCATATATTTAAAATAATAATATACTGATTATAAGGATTTTGTATAATCAATTGTCACTGAGGATAAAATGTAATCTATTACATGATTCCTGAAAGAAATCATCAATGATGATTTCATTGTAAGACATCTTGATATCTCATGCAATTAACAAACTGCTGAATAATCTCACCAATATAGCTAAAGATTTCAATCTTCCATGCCTATAACTGACCTTGTGTCTAGTGAATTCCCTTTCTTTTGTCCTCTGAAGAAGCAGCATCAAATAGGAAGTTTGCATCAAAGATATGGTAAAGGTTATCACCAAGTGACTATATAAAATAAATTTTCTTTATGCAAATAATAAATCTTTTTTGTAGAAAAGTTGTCATTAGGGTTTAAAATTTATGCACTCTTATCTACATATACAGTAAATATTCCAAATTAATAAAGTGCTTTTTACATCAAACATTAAAAAAATAATACAATCTCATTTGATAATTATATATTGTCTAAAATTTATGACATCATATTTAATGAAATAAAAACAATTTCTTTTGAGGATTCAGTATTCTATTTTAATTGTATTTGAAAAAGTTTAAAGTGTATTTTATTTTTAGTAACCTTAGTAATCTTGTATATTTTATAAAACTTATCTTTGTTAAATGTGAATTTTAAGAGATTTTAGTATCCTAGATTTTTTTGTTGTAATTGCATAAACTAACAAAATATTCACTATGAAACTTAGATTTGGAATTGATGGAATCTGATGAATAGTAAGATGACAAACATTTTAATTTTAACTTTAAATACCTATTGTTTGGGAATCTTCCCATTCTTCTAATTCCTCAGTCACAACTAAAACAAAAACTGATAATAAAAATAAAAACTAAATTATATTGTTACAGAAATTTTCAAACGTATCCTAAATCAAGTTCACAATAAACTTTTTAACTAGATATCTTAATAAAACCATGTTTTTAGGAATCTAATGATTTATCCAGATAATTTCATTACTCATTTTTGGAATTTGTACTCTACTTATATTGATAGTTCTTCTAGATTTTCTATATTTAAATATCAATATAATGTTAACATCATAAAATTTTCATACAGCTTAAAGCACAANTCGGTACTCTAAAAAAAAAAAAATAAAACAATTACTGTAAATAAAAAGTTGCATTCAATTTTATTCTTATTCAATATGAATGCACACAATGACAATTATACAGCATAATCAAAACAAAAAACAGATGCTGTAAAATCTCTCTTATTAAGATTACTTTCAAAAATTTTTTTTATAATGACATTCTAAACTTTGAGAATTCAGATGAAAGTAATCAGTTTTAAAATTAATTTTAATCAAAACATTACAAACATACACATATACATACTTATATATACACGTATATATGTAAGTGTGAAAATTAATCTTCAATATCTATTTCAGTAATTAACCTTTTTACAGTAATATATTAAAATAAACATTTTTAGTTATTTAAATAGCCATTTTCAGGTATAACATTATTTTTCTGAAAGATACATGCATTAGTATTCTATATACCAATATAAGTTAACATTGTTAAATGAGCAGCAACAATCAGAAGATAAATAATACATAATATGTTTAACAGGAAAAGATATAAAACTTGGAGAAAATAGTATGTGGTCTTCTGGTTTAAAAAATGCACCATTTCAAGGATGTCCTGAAATATACATTGAATTTATAGAACACATGCAAGTGTAATTGTTGCAGGTGGAATAGTTTTAGTACATTTGTGATTCAGACAACTAAATAATTCTATACTTTTTTGTCATCTAGCTATGGAATGTACTGAAATGATTATCTTTAGTTAAAAACTTAGTGATTAAAAAAAATGTGATATTGCCGAAGCTTGTGAAATACAGTTCAACATTAGAAATTTACAGTAAACTAAACTAGTTTAATATTCAAAAATGATTAATTAATGGATAACTCATAGTTTAATAGTTTATTTTAATTTAATTATATCTTTCAATAAATTTTTTAGATTTACTACATATAGAATGAAAAAAATTATTATATTTTGTAAACTATTTCTTTGAATTTATTCAAATTCTAAATTTTATTTCACATTTGTTATAACAGTCTTACCAGAGATGATGATGGCTAGCTAAATATCTGAAAATTATTATTTAAAGTAAACTTCTCAAATACAAGGAATGATTTTTTCCAAGAGTATAAATATTTCAGAACTATTTATTGTTCTTCTGAAGACAAAGTATGTTTAGAACTATTTATTACTTTTGAGGATAAAGTATGTAGATTCCTAGAAGAAAGCTACCTCACTATATACAAGATTTAAGTATTGGAAAAGACATTAAGGATTAATTTTTCTTCTGGAATGATGATTACAATTTTTAAAAATAAAATCCAATTAAAAAGGAAAAATGGTCAATAATTTTCTACTATAAAAATATATTATACTTAAGAACTACTGTGTAAAGTTTTTTTTTAATGCAAAACTTTTGTAGAACAAATCATGTAGCATTTATATGTGAAATAAGTTCCACAGTTTAATATTTTCAATATAAGTGTTAATCTCAATTACAATACACAAAGCTTTTGCAGAACCAATCTATCATATAAACCACGGGTTGTGTGTGTTGTATTATTTTACGTTAAATTACAGTTTATGTTGGTAGTATAATTATCTTTCAAATATAAAAATAAAATGGAAAAACTAAGTTTTTTTGTAATTAGTATTCACAAATTTAATATTTACAGAATCTACTGGGAATGAAACTTAATCAAAAACAGCTATTTTACTATACTGTATATATAATGCATATATAAACTGTTATTTTCTGTTAAACTAAATATGTAATTGCCATAATGTCTAATTATATAATTGTTTAAATTTTATAGATAATACCAACAGATTAAAATATAAAGATGTGTTTGAAGTACAGTACATTTAATATACAGTAAAAAAGTATAATGTTCTTCAAAAATTATGCTTTTCAAAAGTAAAAGTTCTTCAAAAATTAGTTTCTTGTAAAAAAATAACTTAGTCATTAGGAAACATTCATAAACAACATAGTCCAGTTGAAGAGGGATAAGGGATAACTCAGTGGTTATCATCGACCACTACAATGGAGAGGGGAGTCTGAATCTGATCATTTGTTTTGCATATCTAATATAAATCTATTTTACATATCTCAGGACTGGGTGAACCAAAAATTTTGATACTTAGCAGGATTATTTCTTTATATAGAGCATTGGTGCTATTAAATTTTGATGGTTAAAGGTTAAGAGGGTGGGGAGATAGAAGGTCATATGTCATATCTCAATTGGAGTCAGACTTAAAGAAAATTTTACTCAAAAATTTACATCTTTTTAAAAACTCATCTATACCCTCAAAATTAAGCCTTTTGTCTTTTTATAATAATAATAATAATAATTTTTTAAATAAAATCTCATAACAGATGGCAATAATCTCACCAATATAGCTAAAGATTTCAATCTTCCATGCCTATAACTGACCTTGTGTCTAGTGAATTCCCTTTCTTTTGTCCTCTGAAGAAGCANATAGTATAATTGAAAATTATCTTCCTAGTCCCCTTAACTTCCTGTTCAAGTACTGAGAAAGTTGCCCCCTCTTTTAAAATATAAAGTCCAATATTTCTCAATTATAACTAGAAAAGCAGAACATTATTACTAGTATTTAACTCGCTTACTAAATTGTATACATTTGTTATTTAGCATGTAGATAGAATGGAAGGAACAGCTCTTTTACTGCTACTGTTAATGATAATGATGCAGTAAAATAAAGTTATACATAAAAAAAAACTAAATTAAAACTCCAAAGATTCAAACCTACATCGTCTGAGTCTAGTACATAGGATCTTATTTACTTGGTTATAACCAATCTGGGACATGGAATTTCCAAAGACTTATAACCTAAACACTAAATTTTCAAAGGCCCAATTTTTTGAAGCAATAGAGAAGTCAGTCCTATTATTTGGACAAAGAGCTGTTTGTGCTTAAGGCTTCATACTCACCAAGTTTCATTCAAATTGGAGACTCAAACGTGTGTCTCTCCCCTAATTAGCAATAGCAATCATTTTTGAATAATTCCAAACAACACATTTGATCACAATTTTTAAGCAGTATTGACATGACAGAACTTCACAAGTTCTGTGATGTCAAAAATTTTGTTTTAATCTACTGAAAAAAAATCAAAGTGAAAAAAAGTAATCCCAAAAAAATTTTCCAAAATTTCTGTCGGTTGATACAACTCTTCACTCTGGAAACGCCAGGTGGAATTGCACAAAACTTCCTTTGGTTCTCAATGTCACATCTTACTTTTCTGTCCAAACTTGCCATGTGAAATCATGATATTGCCAGATGTGTGGTGCATAGGATTGCCATTGTACGGAAGCTCAACATTTTGTTGTTTTTTCCCAAAGTGTGATTTGTGATTTGATTTCACATTAAATGTCAAAATAAGTGGGGTTTTAATCACCAGTATTATATGTTTATCACCACTTTAATATATCACCAAGTGGTAATTTTGGCACTACGCAGTGTGACCCCTGAATAGTAAATAGATTTCTCTGTAATTTAATAAAGAAAATTATACTTGTTTACTCACGATTTCAGACAAATTTTGTAAAAGTCACAAAGTACATTTTCACCGTTGTTAGTAGAAAAGAGTCACTCTTTTCTACTAACAATGGTAAAAATGTACTTTATGTGACTTTTACAAAAGACTTATAGATTTTCTCTTTAAGCAGTGTAAATCTTTAAGTTATTAAAATGGTTGACTTATAGTATTAAAATGGTATTTACTTTTGCTTTGTAGAGTTGATAATCAAAACTGTTTTCAGTAGCTATTTTCAATTAAGTATTATGTTATTTTGATATATTTATTTATTCTGAACAGTTAAATCAAAATTACACAAAAACTGATTTACTGAAGAAAAGTGCCTTTGATTTTTGTCCAGCTATTTCTTGAAAATCACTAACTCCGCAACACTAGCAAAGCTTATGTAAAAGAAATGTACTTGAGTATAGACAAAACATAACAGCACATGGTTTGGTGGTCTGTAATTGGATGACATATGAATGAAGTATGGATGAAGTGATCACATCCTCATACATCCTGTAACTCTTACAATTGTTCTATGTGTCTTCTGCAGTCTCATGCTTAATCAATATGAGAATGGTTGCATCTTCATTGTATGAAAATCTATTTGTAAATAATTCTTTATTTTTTATACACAATAATATAATTTTGGAGAGATTAAATTCACTTAAATAAAACAAAAATAAATTTATAACAAGTAATAAAATTTTTTCTTAAAATAATTTAAAAAATTTTTTTTCATATAGTGCCTTGTGTTTTATCATGAGTTTAAAATATAAGAAACAAAATTGAGGATGGAAATCATCAATTTAAAGAAAATAGGATTTATGATTATTTTTACTTGTGTAAAAGATAATGCTTTTTGCTTGGTATGATTGGAAAAAATATTTGAAAAAGCAATATGAAATTAAGCATTCTACAAAATTTAGCAATCTACAAGGACAATTACACAACAGCAAAATAGATTGAATAAAAAAATTGAGGCAACAACAAAACATATTTAGAATTGCTTCATTAGCCACAGACAATGTAGCTTTCATAAACCTCAGTTGGATGTAAGGTACATTGTCAGTCAAATGTTGGCAAAAGGAATGAAACCATTCTCTGTTGAAGGAAAAAATAAAAAAAAGAAGAAGAATATTTACAAGCTATAGCAAATGTTACTTTTCCAAATAAGGATGTATAATTGCAAAAAATCAGCCTGTCAGATTTACAATTGCAGGATAAATTAATCTTTCAAAAAACAAATTTGTTCCTT